ACAAGCAATGTTTTGTAGATGTAAAATAAATAATAACTTGTCACATGTTCCATATGTGAATAATCTGTTAATATTAGAATAAATTATTGTTCAGACGTAAAATTCTGCAAACATTAAGATTGATACAATTACAGGTAGGAAGTTTCAAATGTTGAAACAATGGCTTCCAGCCTGGGCCCTGTCTTGTTTCTGGGGACTCACTGACACAGAGGCATGGGCCCCCTCCCCAGTCCTGGGTCCCTGCTCTGCTGCCCCGTCTGCTTATAGGTCCCTGATCTGGGCCCTTCTGCCCACAGACCTAGAGACCTGTTTGAATAGTGTGTAATGGGGACTCTGAGTGAGCCGAAGGCTAAGTCTGGTGTCTGTTTGTCTTTCTTTTTCATTTAGTGAGAATAACTTACATACAGCAGATTCATCTTCTGCGTGTCAACAGTGGTATGAATTTGCCTGGATGTACAGCATCCAGCAATAATGTTGTAAAGCACAGCTTTACAACATTATTGACATTTGAAGCTGTTTCTTGCTGTGGGAGAGGCCGTGTGCATTGTGGAGTGTTGAGCACCTTTGAGGGACTCTGCCCACTAGGGAACTGGGTACCTGCAGCCCACCCCACATGTGACAGCCCAACCTGTCTCCAGAAATTTCCACATGTCCTCTGGGGGACAAAATGACTCCAGTGTCTCACAGACATCATTTTCCAAATATACAGCATTCCTCATGCTATTCTAGGGAAAGGCACGGCAGGAAAAAGGACTGGGGACCCTCTCAAGGATGAAATGCCTGGAAATACACCAAGGGTGGAAGGTAAACTAAAGTATGCACAGAAGAATCGTTTTTGTCATTAAGTATCTGGAAATTTGATGACTAGAAAGAATAGTTAGTGGATAAATATCAAGTAAAGTCACATGGAGAAATATTTCTGTGAGTCTGTTCCTAAGTTAGATGAGGAATAAAACACAGACAAGCCTGACTCCATGAAAAAGGCCCAAGTTCAGATCAGAAAGTTTCCCTGGAAACATTATGGATCGGCTCCCAGGGGACACGGTGAGCCAGCGGAGAATCCTCCGTCTCTGGGAGGGAACCTGTCCAAGGCTGCTTCTGCACCTGCTCTGAACCTGGTCCTCTGGTTTCCTCACGGCCCTGGGTGCCCCCTGGTGGCCTGAGCCCTCCCTGCAGGAAACTTTGTATCTGGGTCACCCTGATGTCTTCTCACTCACTCTCCTTCCAGTGACAAAAAGCACACAGCTGTGTCCTCAGGGACCCCAGAGCTGAGCTGCAGGGACACGTGGCCCTCAATGTGTCTCTGGAGATGGGGGGGAATTTTTGGGGAGGCAGGGTGTATGCTGTCCAGCTCCCAGACCCAAGCACCCCAGGGTCTGCTGGGCTCTCCCTTGGGGAGGATGGACCCAGACCCACTAGGAGGCACTGTGTGTGGTGCAGAGGGGGGTTTATGTCCTTGTCAGCCAAGCCTTTGGCCCTCAGAGGATGATGTCATTGAAGAGGAGACCCTGGCCCTGGGTGGCACAGGTGCTGTGATGGCCCTGAGCCCTGCGTGTGGTTCGCATGCACGTGGGGTCGTGTTTCCACATGAACATGAAGCGTTAGGTGAGGCCGTGTCTCTGGGCTCAGGAGGCGGTGCTGGCTTATATCCAGGGTGGACCCCCCTTCTGCTCACTGACCACAGCTGCTCTCCTCCCAGAGCAGAGGGTTCAGTCCAAGGAGAGTCGGAGTGCAGGGGAGTGACCATAAACAGAGCAGGACCTACTTTCCCTCCCAGTGTTTCATATGAAAACGTCCTAAAGACGCGCCTGACACTAACAACGGGAGTGGGCGTCTCCCACACTCCTCCTCTCGTGCCCCCCAGCCCCCTGGTCCCCTCTGCTCCCTGCTCACCTGCTCTGCATCTCTGCTCTGACTCTCAGCTGCTTGTTTAATAAGAGCTGTGCTCTCTCTCATTTGTCACATAACCACTTTTACAGGTTACATGGCCCTGTGTTAGCATTTTTATTGCAAACGTAGTGACCACGCTTTAATTCTATGTGTCCTATTATATTTCCGTCCTGTTCCTCAACTCCTCACCTCACATCCTGTGTCTACAATGCATTAGAAAGGAACTCCCCACAAATCTTGGACATATTGTAGGTCATCCATTTCCTGCTATTTTGAGTTTCAGTTGTTAGAAAAGTTGCACTTTAATCCGTTTTGATATTACTCCTTGCTAAGTTACCAAAAACAATAGGATTTGGGCATTCATTTATGCAGCAATCATTCTACGTCCTCTGATGAATTCCAAAGAGTCTTTCAGCAGATACTTACGTGTCTTTTTGAGAATGATTCACACTTACGTTCCACATATGTCTGTCGGCGTCAACATTATTTGTGCATCTCTTGGCTGTGGTTGACCGTACAGAGTGACAGACTGGGCGGCTGAAGCAGCAGAAATGCATTTCTGTCAGATCTGGAGGCTTCAAGTCCAAGCCAAGTGCCAGCAGCTTTGGGATCTTCTGAGGTCTTCCTGCTTTGCTTGCAGGGGCCCCCTGTCACTGAGCCCTCAGGTGGACTCCTCTCTTAGCGTCTGTGTGCCCCTGGTTTCGTCATGTGTTCAGAACTCCTCTCCTTAAAGTTGACAGCCTCTTGACCATAGCGTAGTTCACAGGCTCGTGAAACGCTCGTTTCTACTGGTTGTGGTGTGTGGGCGTCTGTGTCTATGTTTGCACGACCAGGTTTTGTCAAGAACCCTCCTGAGATTAACCAGGTGAATACGATCTCCCCACCACTGAACTTCAATCACCCACAATCCGTGATCAAATCCATCAAGCCTCCTAGCTCCCAAGTGATGTCTCATCAACCTGACCTCCCTTTTGCAAGCGTCCCCGTGAGTCATTGTAGCCGGTGTCTCCTTCACCTTTACTTTTCCTCTTAGTAATTTTCAATCCACTCCAGCCCACCTTATTCTT